TTAAAATAGTGTCTTAACCAGAGGTAGAACTACAAAACTGCTTGAAGCTTGCAGTTAAACTGAAATAGGACTCTGGTATAGTCCAGCATCTGGAAACCAACAATAAAACAATAGCAAATAAGCACCTGGTAGGTGACAGGTACTGTGCTAAGATACATGTGTGTGCATGTGTGCGCACGTGCGTGTTTGTGTGTAATCTTCACATAAACATGAAAATTCAAGGCTCAGAGAAGTTAAGTAACTGGCCCAAGATCACATGGCCAGTGACAGGTAGAGCCAAGATTCAACTCCAGTGTCTGAATCCATAGTGATGAAAAGTGAGTCCTGGATTGAAACTACTGGAATTCATGTCCCAGCTCCGCCACTTCAAAATTGTGTGGCAATGGGCAAGTTATTTAACCCCCCTTATATCTCAGTTTCCTCATCTGTAGAATGGAAATAACAATATCATATCCATAGGATTTAATGGGATGATATGAGGAGATGCTCAGAACAGAGCCTGGCACATAAAGGCTCAAAAACTGTTAGTTATTATGGTTTCAGGGGACATTTTAGGGCTTTTTTTTTTTCAATGGGTGCTATTACTAGTCAGATTCCAAGTTTCTTTCTTTCTTTCTTTCTTTTTTTTTTAAAGATTTTATTTATTTATTTAATTGACAGAGAGAGAGAGAGAGAGAGAGACAGTGAGAGAGGGAACACAAGCAGGGGGAGGGTCAGAGGGAGAAGCAGGCTTCCCACGGAGCAGGGAGCCCGATGCGGGGCTCGATCCCAGGACCCTGAGATCATGACCTGAGCTGAAGGCAGTCGCTTAACCAACTGAGCCACCCAGGCGCCCTCTTTCTTTTTTTTTTTTAAGATAATGTGCCCGTGCACATGTCGGGGGAAGGGCTGAGGCAGAGAGAGAGAGTCTCCAGCAGACTCCCTGCTGAGCTCGGAGCCCAGTGTGGGGCTGGATCCCATGACCCTGAGATCATGACCTGAGCCAAAGTCAAGAGTCTGACGCTTAACCCACTGAGCCAGCCATGTGCCGGGATTCCAAAGTTTCTTTAACGTCATGTTCATCTGCTTCTCACCCTCTTTTTCACATGCCCTTCTCACCTGCCAAACTGACTCACTGATTTCCCAGTGCTCCCACTATTGGCTGCCACCTGGCTTCCCTCCGGCTATTATGGCCCAAGTGAGACTATGCCTCCTCTTCCTCGATGGGGTGTTTGATTTTCTCAACCTTCATAGCACTTTGTATTTATTTATAATTAAGAGTTCTTTTTATCCACCATATTGAGGTTGAGTGGGACACCCTTTAGATAGCCGGTTGGTGATATCAAGTGGGCAGTTGACTCAAGCCTGGAGCTCCAGATGAAGGACAGGAAGGTGGGCATACAGGAAGTCCTCAGCCTACAAATGGTATTAAAGACTCTAAAATGTAGAGGCTGAAATGAGGAGGAAGAAGAGTCAGCCGAAGAGGCTAAAGAGAAGCAGAGAGTGTAGTGGGAAAAAGCTCCTGGTGAAGGTGGTATCACCAAAAGCAACAGAAGGAAGGGTTTGAAGGAGAGAGTAGCCCGCTGTTGAGCGTCAAGTAAGACATGTACAGAGACCAGAGGAAATAGCCACATGAACGTCATTGCAAGAGGAGTTTGCGGAAGGAATGAGGTACAAGACCCAGGAGGAGTGGACTGAAGGGGGAGAGTGTGCAGTCAGAAAGTGGAAACATCAGCCACACGTGACTCTCTCAAGAAGCTTTGCCAGCGATGGAGGGCCAAGTGATAGATGGGGAAAGAGGTGAGCCGAGGGAATGTGGAGGTCACAAGTAGCTTCTTGTTTAAAAGAGGGCACTAGGGCATATTCTCTTCCGATGTGTATGCTCCAGGAGACGTAGAAGTAGCTGCAGGTGGGAAGGTCACCGAGTTGGTGACAGAGGCTGAGATCCAGAGCACTCAGGGAGAGAGACGATGGTCTTTCATGGGAGCACGGATGGTCCCTTCACTAGGGATGGAGGGAAGGCCAAGTAGGTGGGGTAGTTGGGCACTTAGAGGAGGGAATTTCTACATGTTTGTTTTTATTTCTCAATGAGATATTAGGTAAAGTCATCAGCTGAGAAGGAGGGCGGGGCTTAGCAAGTTTGAGAATAACAAATAAAGAAGAAGGTGTGAAATAGTTACTTTGAGCAGTGGAAAAGAAGCATACCAGAGAACTATAGGAGGACCATGGGCAGGGCTGAGCGCCGTTTCGGGAACTGTGGCCATTAGTTATTCAAATGAGACCTGTTGGCAGAATTGGATGTTTCTCTCCTGGAATGTTCTTTTGTTGAGGTACAGGCATAAATAAATGTGGATGTCCAGGTTTAACCATTACAGCTTTGCCAGAGGAATTTGACACAGGAAGAGGGGAGTGAAAGAGTCAAGGGTATCTGCAAGATTGTAATTATAATAATAACCATGAGCTGTAACTGAGGAAAAGTGGGACATGGGGACGTGAGGGCACAAAGGGGTGACTGTCATCGCGGTGATAGGCCGAAGGATGGCGGGCACCACGAAGTAGAGGAATAGCTGGAGTCAGTCCGGTGGAAGAGAATAAAGGTACGGTTGTAGAGCGTAAGGCTTGATATCGATTCTAGAGGAGGTGTGGTCATTGGTGCTGAGGAGGTCAAGGGTATGATCATGGGAGTGTGTACTGAGGAGGGCAAAGAAAATGATCTTGGATATGAGACAGTCCAAAGTCAGAGAGACCAAGAACACTGACGCCAGGATAATGGTGATAGGCGTAGGGTGTGGGAAAAGGAGAGCATGAAGGTTACTGAAGTCATCTGTGAATGGGGGGAGTGACAGGTTTGCTAAATGTCAGCAGAAGGAAAGCTTGGGTTTCTGGGGGTGACTGGGGGTGACTAGGGATGTGAGGTGTCCTGGGATAGGTCCTGATAATCTCCAGGCAGAAGGTGGGAAATCTGCTGAAGCTGAACAGCCTGGGGCCCTGGGGCTGCCGAGCTCCCCAGCACAGGACCTGTGTTGGAGTTTAGGCTCCAAGAGCCACTAGCTGTGTGAGTTTGCGAAAGTCAACCTGCTTATTCTCATCCGTCAAATAGGGATAAACGTTCAATGACTTGCCTCGTTCACAAGGATCATTTGAGATAATGAATGTAAAAGGATTTTGTAAGCTCTGAAGTACCCTTAAAAAGTAGTTAAAATTTAAAATGTATATATCATAACATTATGACGTCTAGCCTCTAAACTAGAGCAAGATAAATCACTTACTCCTCTTTTTGTCTGCCACAATACCTAACCTGGATGCTTGTGTTCTAGAGTTTGCAATGTTGACTAGTACTGAACAATAAAAGCTTATAAAATGAATTAGAGCCTGTGATTAATGCCTTCTGTGTTATTGTCAACAAAAAAAAGAGCATCGTCTAGCAGTAATGCTTTAAAAATTCTGAAAAAACAAAACGAAAAACAAAAAAATCTGATTTTTCTTTTCACCAAATCCCCTGAAACGAAGACTAAAGAAGCATTTCTTAAGGTTAAAGTCCTAAAAATATTTATGCATTTTGACCCAATAATTCCATTCCCACTTTTTAAAATCTTTTAATTCCACTTAACATTTATACAGAAAAATGCAGAAATCACAAATGCACATATGAGTTTTCACAAAGGGAACACACTCACGTAATTCGCCTCACTCACAGAAATTTGATGCCAGAAAATATTCCTCCGGGTGAAAAAGCTGTGCTTCTGAGGACGTTGGCTCAGTGTTACAGCGGAAAACGCTAAATGTGAGGTGGAGGAATGACTCGGTAAATGTCGGCACATAAATTCAGTGGAGCAGTATGGAGCATTAAAAATGATAGTTTTGAACTGGAGGATGAAATTCACAAAACTCGAATGCCCTTGACGCAGGCTGGCAGGTGAAATCGAGAAGCAGCGTGCTCTGAAAGGCGGACGCGGTAAAGATATGAAGGGGGCGGGGGGAGTGCGGGCCTTGCCTAGACTTCCACAGTAAAATGCTCAAGAAAGCAATGCACTGGGGAGCCTGGGTGGTGCAGTCAGTTAAGGGTCCGGCTCTTGGTTTTGGTGCAGGTGGTGATCTCAGGGTCGTGGAGTCGGGTCCCACGTCAGGCTGTGTGCTCAGCGGGGAGTCTGCTTAAGCTTCTCTCTCCCTTTCCTTCTGCCCTTCCTCTCTGAAGTCAATCGATCAATCAATCAAAAAAAGAAAAAAAAGTAAAGCATAGTGCTGACCAAACAAAACGTGCCTCAGGCCTAGTTTTATACGTAGGCCTTTCATTTCTGACCCTCGCTGGAGGTAAAGGAAAATAGGGGCAACATAAACCCACCAGGTATGGCCATTGTTGTGGCTGCAACAAGGGAATTTAAAAATGCCTCCTTCACAGAGCTGTTGTAAAGGTTAAGTGCGTCCCCTTCCTTTGCCTCTTCTTCCTTGTTATTTTATTTTTCTCATTAATATTATTTCTGACTCCATATCCCATTCTCCTCTTCCCGACTCCAGCCACACTAGCCATCTCAGTATTTCTCCAAGGTGTTTTAGCCTCAGGGCCCCCATTCTCTGCCCCTAGTGTTGGCCTCACTTCATGTGGATCTCTGCCCAGAGGACACCTCCTCTCGGGAGTGGCTCTCTCTCTCTTTCCCTCTCTCCCCCTGCTTTGTTGTTCTTCATTGCACATGGCGCTGCCTGACATTTTATGGTCTATGTATTTTTTAAGTTATCTGTTTATTCTCTACCCTAGAAGGTAAGCTCTAGGAAGGCAGGAATTTACCTAACTTGTTTAATGCTGTGTTCACAGTTCCTAGAAGGCCCCTGGCGCATAATAGACATTCAGGAAGAATTTGTTGAATACCGTTGAGTGTTCAAGGTAGAACCATCGTGTCTTATTTTTTCCTTTTCCCCCCAAATCTCAAAAGTACGTTTGTGTAATTAGTGATCTAAAGAGACATTTCTTGCGGATGAGTCGAATGTGTAAAACTCCTCTTCGTCTCTCCTAACTTGGGTGACAGGTCAGCCATGCAGAAGCTGGGAGCAGAAGTATTTGAGAAGGTCTACAACTACCTCAAGAGAGCAAGGCGCCAGAAGGCCAGTGAAGCCGAGATCCGGGCAGCTCTAGAAAAAGTGGTGCCTCGTGCCGGTGACTGTTTTGAAGTGGACCAGCTCCTGTACTTTGAGGAACAGTTGCTGATCACAGTGGGTAAAGGGCCCACACTCCAGAACCCTCACCAACAATTGTAAAAACAAGCAAGTCCAAGGGGACAAACCCATTCAACACATAAGCTGGACTTTATTATGGGAAATGGGTACAATGCCAGGGCTACCATCTTTATTATCAGTTCCTTGTCAAGAGGAGTGAGTCCTGGGCACCTGGGTGGCTCAGTTGGTTAAGCGACTGCCTTCGGCTCAGGTCATGATCCTGGAGTCCCGGGATCGAGTCCCACATCGGGCTCCCTGCTCGGCGGGGAGTCTGCTTCTCCCTCTGACCCTCTTCCCTCTCGTGCTCTCTATCTCTCATTCTCTCTCTCTCTCTCTCAAATAAATAAATTAAAAAAAAAAAAAAGAGGAGTGAGTCCTTTAGAGAGTAGTAAACCTATCTGCCTCTACTCTGAGTCGTGGGCCAATCAGTGTTTGGTCTATACTCTGAGGAAAGTTTGTGGACCCCCCCCCCCCCCCTGAAAAGCATTCCCGCAGTGTGCCCTCGGCACTTCCACAGGGTTGGACCCCCCCCCCCCCCCCCTGCGACGGCCTGGAAGATTCCATCTACCCTTGACCATTTCCACTTGGAGGACAGGCTCGGTGCTTGCCTGTCTCGAGTCCCCGTGCTCTATGGTCAGCCTGCTCCCCACTTACGTCCCTGAACACTGGCTTCTGACACACTGAGCTGCTGACCAGGAGTCACAAATGTTTGTCTCAGGTGACCTGTTTTGGGTCCACTTTTGCCCTTGCCTGCCTAACAAGCAAGATGTGCATATATATACATATATATAAGGACCTGGACTCAAAATCTAAAAAGCAATTCTCTTCTGTGATTGATTCTCCAAGCTCATTCTTGGAGTATTGAAGACTTTTATTCTTAATAAAGATATTTCACATGGTTACAAAATAAATCACCTATTTTATCATTTTCTTATCTAGAAGTATGTTGATGAATGTAATGCATCTGTGTAATCATTATTACCAAGAGCAGCTAACATTTGATTTTTGGGGTGCCTATTATGTGGCAGCACTTATGGCTTTAAGGGCCTTCTGTCATTGGATCTTTTCACCGATGAGAGAGATGAGGAGAGGAGAGATTACCCCCATCTTTTAGCTTATTTACTGCTTAGTTACTCAGCTACCAGAGCTGAGCTGTCACCCCGGGTCTGTCTGATTCCAGCGCCCATGATCTTAACCACTCTGCATGTGGGCTTTCAACCAAGAAGCTACATCAGACTTGCTCGAGGAGCTTCTTAAACATACACACGTTTAAACATACCGTTAAAGAGTTATCCCGACATGTGTGAAAACAGTAGAGAAGACTTTATTCAGGACGATTAAAATAGGGGAGAGAGACGGAGCTCAACGCCAAATGCAGCACAGAAAGCTGGAGATTTAGACCCCGGCAGGGGGACGGGGCACAGTAGGGCTCAAGGGATGTAAAGGTACAAAAAGAAGACACCTAGGGTAGGGGAAGTTGTTGTCAAACCGACTTCACAGGACTCTTGCTGAAGACAGGCCAGGGTGACCCGTTAGCAGGGGTGGGGGATTCTCACTAAGCTGACTTGACAGGATTCTGGCTGAACTGGACTCAGCAGGTTGGAGACAGGGCCCAGGTGGAGGCCCAGCCGAACTAGCGCTCAGGGGAGCCTGTCTGAAGTTCCGTCAAGGAGAGAACCTTTGTCAACACCCAGCCTCACCCGCCTCCTTTCTCTGGGGAGGCACGGGGCCAAAGCCTATCTTCTGTTACAAAACGACCTGGTGAATGTGACACACGCATTATGTAGTGGTCAGGATTCTGCCTGCCGCTAACGATGGAGGACACTGAGGCAGCGTGCCTTACCGCCCCGTCATGGCTGGTGCTGTGCCCCCTGCACGATGCAGTGCCTTTTAGACTAGTGTTTCTCACCTTTGAGCATCAGGATCACCGGAGGGCTTGGTAAAACAAATTCAGGGCCCATCCCCAGCACTTCTGCTTCAATAGGTCTGGGTGGAGATGGAGACTTCACGTTTCTTACAAGTTCCCGGGTGATGCTGATGCTCTGGTGTGAGAACCACCAGCGACCACTGTTTGAGACCCTTCCTCCCACTGCCTCTGCCCCCGCGGTTGGAGCAGTGCTTGGGTCTGCTCTGCTGGGGGCCTGACTCATCTCACTAACATTTCTGAACGTGGTATGAGGACTGGGAAGAAGGGCCCAAAGACTTCAGCTGCCTTGCCGTGAATATACTCTGGAGAGGCAGTGATTGGAAGGGAAAAAGTCAAAGTGTGACTAACATGGCTTCAGGGAGTTCGATGGGGTCCGTTCAAGGACAAGGGGGCATGGTCACCGTGCTCTATGTCTCATTCCCACCTCTGCCCAGCAGCCAAGGGAACCACAGGAACCCACAAGCTCTGCTGTGCTCCAGGCCTTGTGAACATCACTGTTCTGTGTTCCCTCAACTCCTGTACACCGTGGAGACGTGTTGGGGCCAGCACGGACCTTCACTCTGCCTCTTCCCCAAGCTAGTGATGCCCACCCCCCTCCCTCCCTGCATGCTGGGCACTTGTCCCTGGCTGGCAGGTGATCCTCGTGCTGCTGGTCTGGGGCAGGAAAAACAGGCCTCAAACAGTGGCTCCTTCCTGGGGTTGGAATCTGAGACTTTGCAGAATTCTGACCTTGAGCATGTTGTCCAAGCCCAAATCCAGAACCTGTGACCACGTCCAAGGTAGAACACTGAAGATCAGGTTTGTCCTTGGAGGCCTAGGACATTTCCATTATTCTGACAGGGAAGAGACCTCAGCCCCTGGACGGGCTCCACAGAGCTCCCATATCCTTTTATGACCAAACAGATTTCAAATGGATCTGGAAGAAGGGGACAATAGTAGCAAGTTATAAAAGCTTCTGAATCTTCTTACTAGTGGTTTTCATAACATCAGGACAGAATACTTGTGTGAGTTTCTAGCTATAAGGAATAGCTAGATTTCAAATAGCCTCTGCCATCTTTCACAGATGAATGTTCCCCAGGAACAACACCCTGGATTTAAGAACATGTTAGGATCATTCCTCTACCCTTTAGGCTCTGTGGCTGGGACTACAAAAAAAACTGACAAAAACAAAACAAAACAGATTAACAGGAGAAAACCACCATTTGCTTCACTGGGAGTGAGGGTGGTGGGTGCAAGATTGAAGGTAACTAGAAAAAAAAATCGCTTTTTATTATTACTCTTGGGAAAGTACTTTCTCACTTCAGCCCAGGTCAGTCTGCATTTGGGGTGACTCCAGGGTTGGTATTAATCACTAACCAAACTGCAAGAGTGTGGTTCACTGGGTGACCTGCAAGATGGTGGGTGGAAACTGGCGGGGGGATTAAGGAAGGCAGAAGGTGCTATTATGAAACCATCACAAGTATGAGGGAATAAAGGGACCCTGCTGGCTTGCCGCTTTGTAAAATACATATATGTATTTCACAAACACCAACTGACCTTTCTGCTTTCTATTTATGCAGAGGAAATGCCATCAGCTATTTTGGGTGGTGCGGAGATAAGGCACACACAGGAGAGTGATGGAAGTTAATTATTTAATGTATTTGGGGCTGAGGCTGGAGCAAAAGCTCTAGGTCTGTTATAAAGTCTGGCCATCACAGTGGGCTCAGGATAAAGGAGGCTGACAAATTAAACAGGAGCTCCAGGGGGGAAACACCCCATTCCTCTTTCAGGATGATGGGACCACTAACTAATGTGTCAGAAGATCAGGCCAGGAGCAGAACAGCCCCAGCCAACCTGTAGAGTCACCCCAGCCAATGAGGAATAAAGCAGAACTGCTCCAGGTGATCTGGAAACTCTGGCCAGAAGCAAATGTTCATTGTGGTAGGCTTCCCAGGTTCTTTGTTTATTACGCAGCATTGTTATGGCAATAAACTAACCGATATACCCGACACCACTCTCTACCCCTTCTCTTAACACTTTTTATCAAGTCCTCAGGCTTCCTTCTTTTTGGCATTGATTTTTATAAATTTGGGGGAAGTTTCCTTCTAATGAAATGATTTAGTGGTTTCTCAGAAAAAATGGGGATCCTCTTTTTCAAAATGGTGAACCGTGAACTCTGTCCTTCCTGGCTTTCAGCACGTTTCCAGACAGTGTGGTGCAGGGGCTTGGAGCCCACTAACACCGCCTCATCTGCAGATAGGGTCTAATACTTCTTTGGATTTTACTTCGACGTATATTGAGTTCCCACCCCATACCAGGGATTTAGGCACACAATTTTGAATGATAAACTTTCAACAGGCAATGGAAACAGCCGAAATGTCTGTCAATGGGTGAATGGGTAAAGGAAACGTGACATATTTATGTATATACACAGCGGAATATTATTCAGCCTTAAAAAGGAAGGAAATCCTACCATTTTATACAATATATGCTAGTGAAATAAGCCAGATACAGAAAGTCGGATGCTGCATGATCTCACATCTATGTGGGATCTAAAAATGTCAACCTCATAAGAGCAGAAATTAGAACGGCAGTTGCCAGGGCTGGGGTTGTGTTGTCAGATGTCGGTCAAAGGTTGTCGGTCCCAATGTTTCAGTAACACAGGACGAGTGAGTTCTGGAGACCTAATTACAGCATGGTGACTGTAGTTAAAATACTGTATTACTGTACACTTGAAATCTGCTAAGAATGTAGGTCCTAAGTGTTCTTACACACACACAAAAATGAAAATGGTCGCGATGGAAAGTGATAGGTATGTTAGTTGATTGTGGTTGTCCTTTCATAGTGTATACCAAAACATCACCGTGTGCTCCTTAAATATATACAGTTTTTGTCCATTATACCTCAATCAAGCTGGGAGAAATTTCATCAGGCAAATACGAGGGAGGAAAAGATCTCGCAGGCCTGAAGAACACAAACATGGAGGACACAGGACACAGCATGTGCGTTCTGGGAGTCTGAAAGCTGTTCATGCTGGTGGTACATAAAGTGAGGACGATTACGTTAGGTTTGAGAGGAAGGTATAG